ACTAGGCTATTTTTCTGGTTTTCTGACCATATCATCGGATTTTATTCCATTTGGGCAAAAATCATACTTCTTGCCTCATTAAAATGCAATTGAAAAATCTAAGACTGTCACATGGACCAGTGAAGTGCTTTGCAAAATTATTTATTTTGTAGAATTGCACAAGTGTATTGGATAAACTAGAAGGAAAACAAGGGAGAAAAGGAGTTCTTTCCTAGACATAAACTGAAATACAGTAGCAAAACAAGAGTTAAATTTTACTTTATAAGAAGCTATACAGCTGCAAGTACCTGCTTTAAAGGCACGTGAGTTGATTTTATGGTCTTAATCCACCACAGCCCTGTTTTTACAGGAGGGTCAAACATGTAAAGTAGAAATATTTCCCGGAAATATTTTGAATAAACATAAACACAAGACATACTATGCTGTTTGTGGATAACTTAGTGAAAATTAAAGATGAAATTTACTGGCCTGCAGGTGTTGCAAACGACTGAAACATATCGAGGATCTTTGAAGGAGCAAAAAGAACCTGCGGGGTCACATTTTGCTCTCATTTTCACAGTGATGTAAATCCAGACTGAGTCGATTTGACCCAGTGTAACAATATAACTGTGGAATATTTCCAGATATCCATCAAGGAATGCAGCATCTGCCCAGGAGTGTTTCAGACCCTGACTTGCACTTGGGCCTTAAGTGTGCTCAGCTTTGCAGTGTTGATCAAATAAAAGGTCTGGCTGCATAAGAAATGCTGAATAAAGACCTCAAATGCCAATGCTGTCAGCATTTCTGAATGGTTTTGCCTTTACACATGCAGGCATCCTGCTGACTCATTTTCTTAATCACCTCTAAAATTCACAGGGAATTTTAACATTCCTTTTCCTCAGAAGGCCATCAAAACACAAATTTATCATAGCAGAGTGTCAGGGAAACTAAAGCAGCCCAAGAAATATAGGTAGACAATTGTTTTTCATTGTTTTCTCTCTTCTGCTGCTGCAGAATGTTTAAAAAATACTTGAAGACGGGATGGATTGAGGAGAGGTACATTAAAATAGGCAAACATACAGAAAAAGTTTACATAAAAATCCAGAGAAGGTTGACTTTAAGACAAAAATAAAGCAAGGAAAAATCTAGGCTTGATTCTGCATGTCTGAATTAAAGACCAAAAACTTCTGTTCATTGCAGTCATTCCACATGCACATGAAATTTTATTATATTCCTATAGGATCTCTTTACATTTTATGCTTATATAAATGAAGTGAAATTTACTTTATAAAATATTTAGGGAATCTTCTTAAGAGCCTCTAAGCTCATTAGGCAGGTGAATTTGTCTTGGATTTGGCCAACAAACTGTTTAACCAGGGGAGAGCCACAGGCCCAGCTGTCTGGAAGAGGAGCTGGTCTGTATGGGAGCCAAGTGCCAGATGGAGACGACAGCCAGCTCAGGAGTTGCAAAATCCACCCTGAAAGGATGTAAAAAGATGGGAAAAACTCTGACCACTGAGCTGATAAACACGGGTTTGAACTGCCATCAGTATTCTGGCTTTGAATCCACCCCCTGTGCCCCCTCATTAGGGTAAGCTCAGCACAACACGGAGCTGGGGGTTAAATCCTGGGAGGAGCTGGGGGGTGCTCAGCCTGCTCCCTGCAAGAGCCTGCTCCACACTCAGCAAACAGAGAGCTCAGCCTGACAGAAGGGAAATATAATTAGGATAAAGAATAAAGAGAAGCAGAGGAAAGAGGGCTCCTGTTACCGAGGGGTTATAGAATTCATGAGGCCTCCAGACACCTGCAAGGAGCTCAAAAGCAGCAGAGGAAGTGTGAGGCAGATTATTTCTCCCTTTTGTAAGGCAAATGACTAATTATACAAAGCAAGATTTTTTTTTTTCTCAAAAGAGATTTGAAAGGTACCATGCAATATTGATACAGAAATTGTAGTTGATGCAGGTTTACAAGGCAAGTGGTAAAAGAAAATGTAAATGCAAACATCGTGTTTTTTCCTTATTCTCCCTGTGGCTCTTCCTTTTGTCAGAAACCTGCCTCAGTGCAGAAAGTTCTCTGTGAAACAGCAAAATTCTTCTAACTGGAGACAGTTTTAGACTTCCCCTTCTGTGTCCATTATGGAGAAGAAACTGTGAGCTTAATCCATCTGAATTTCCATTGTTGAGTACTGTTGCTATTAATTTTACTTGTTTTTCTTTCAAAGGAAGGAGAAAAAATAATCCCTGTTAGAGGGAGCTGGATCAATACCAAGAAATTCTTTGTCAGATAAAATAAGAACAATCATTAACCTTGTTGCTTATGAATGTAATGCAAACTCCTCTTTTCAGCTCACCTTGTCCACAGCATCCCCAGCAAACTTCCCTCATTTTGCTCAGCAGTTAAATCCCAGCTCAACCACCCAAACAAACACTGTTATTAATGACCTTGGAGCTCTCTTCGTGCTGGATGGGTGGGAAAAAAAGGAGGAGATGTTTCATGATATTCAGGTTCAGGTATTTTGATGATAGGGACTCTTCAGTTTGTTTACTTAGGCCTGGATTTGAGGCTGGATTATGGATATTATTTATAGATCCAGCCTCTCTGGGAGCAGCACATGAAGATAGTTCACGGCCATTCCAGCAGAATATCTATAGAGACACATGATGTTATTGTCCACAACAGAAAGAAATTAGAACCGAGTTGTCTGAAATTACTGTAAATTTTTTAATCTCTGACAAATGATTTATCTCTCAAATTATCAGCAGTATCCAATTCCAGTTGAAATTTATGTGCATGTTATAAATAGATTTGCTGTTACTTGTGCAGAGTTAAGAGGCTACTCAGCAACTTGAGGTGCAGAAGAGTTTTTAAGTACAGGATGTTGAAATAGTGTGGAAGTATTTATACATTTGTATTTATTCACAAAATATTGTGGTACAAGAGGTTTTCCTGTTTTCACACAGCTTTGTTTTGTAGGAGTCCTTCAAACAGGTGTTCAATCTTTTAATCTGGAGATCCAATTTCTACAACAGGGACAAAGTTGTACTGCAAGTATTTGCTTAATTTCTTGTTTCCTTTCCTTGCAGTAAGTGCAATTTCTCAATTGGACTCTTCTATTCATCTTTATTGGTGTCACTGAGTAAGAGGGTATTGATGCATTCCTAGAAAACAGTAGCATTTCTTTTTGCCTCTTGCCTGATGAATGGGATTCCTGAGTCTAGCCTTCTGAATTTTGGAGACTAATGCATTTGATGCTTGTTAAGAGGAACTTTGCCTGCTTTATGGCTTCTCAAAGGCTTTGCTGAGTTCTGCAGACTTAATGCTTCACCCTCAGTTTTCCACATCAACCGAAAAACAGTTCCAGCTCATTTGCCTGCAGAAAGACTTGGTGTTCAGTAGAGAGGGGATTTTGGTGTTTTTCATTGCTACTGTTAGTCTCCTGTTGCTTCTTTAATTTGTTTTGTCTGTTAGTGTCCAGATTTATGGCCAGCATTAGTTAGTGCACAGAGCTGAGGTGCTGTGTCTGTATCCCAAGCCTCTTCCTCGACAGAATGGGAGGCAGCAAGATGCTGGATTTCTAAAAATCTCATTTGCTTGGTTTCTTACAAACTATTGGCCCTTTGTTGGTGTTTTGGATGGAACCTGTTTGGCCAACTCGGCTTCTGGGAGCACTTGGTCATTTCTGCCAGTTCCTGAAGTGGACTGAGGTTTCACCATGAGACTATTTCAAGTGGGACCAGGTGATGCAGGAAAGATCCTCTCTGGAAGACCTCAAGCAGCACCAAACCAGTCATGGTTTTAATAATCTTGAAATATATGGGAGTACTAAGCTAAGGTTCCTGCTCCAATCCTTCCAGCACACATCAAAAAACTAAATTAATAGTAGACAGAGGTTTAATCAAACCACTACCAGAGGCTGCCATGTGGCAGCACCATGAGGTGGTACCTGGCCATGTTAATACTCAAAAAAGCAGATAGTAAAGTCCTGTTGGTGATGTCAATGTGCGTGATGGGTTTTAGGAAAGCTGCTTCCCTCCTGGCTGTGACAGGAAACCAGCAGCAGCATGCACGGGGTGGGGGTGTCACACCAAAATTCAACCTGCAAATCCTTGCATAAGAAGTCTGTGTCCTGGAGACTCCCCCAGGTTTAGGGGCTGCCTTTCAAGCAGGTTGCAGTGCTTTCCCCCTCCTTCTTCTGAAAATAGGGGACGTTGCAATGCTTTGGTGCTTTCCCTTCGGCTTTGTAGCTGCTTAAAAAGTTGCCTGGGAGGACTGGAGTGTGTGTACGAGTAGGGGGTAATTCCAAGGGGAGGGTCGCTAGTAAGGAAGCGTCCCATGTGCCTGGCTAGGTGAGAGCTGGGCAGGTTTGTTATGACATAACTACTGGAGGGGGGTGTGTGTGTGGAATTTGTGGCAGAGAGAGCGGGGGAAGAGAGAGAGAGAGAGAGAAGTGGAGTCTGCAGCACCCTGTCAGTGCTATCAGAGACAGGATCTGGCAGCTTTGGGTTGAGCTACCACCTCTCCGCTCCACCACTCCGAGCATCCTGGATCTCCAGCTAGAAGGGGAGAGGGAGCCTAGCAGCGGCGATCATGGCAACGTCAAATGGCTTTATTTCTTCAAGACCTCTCCTTTCTCTCTCTCATCAATAATTCACCTGAGGGCTTTTGTTTTCCCCACTCCCCCTTCTCACTCTCTTTTTTTTGATGCGGGAAGGGGGCCCCGACCAGCGTGTATTTTGTCCGGCAGCTTTTCGAGGCGTGTTTTAAAGAGCTCGCTAAAGGACCCGGGAAGAGAAAAAAGAAGAGAAGAAAAAATAAAATAAAAAAAAAAAAAAAAAAAGAACGGCACAAAGTGGTGGCGGGGGGAGGAGGAGGAGGAGAAGAGCGGGAGAGAGAGAAGAGACGGAGGGGAGAAGGCGGCGGAGAGAGGACTTTGAGCGCGGCGGGCGCGGTGCGGTGCCGGGCGCGGTGCCGGACGCGGTGGCCGGAGCGGGGCGCGGAGCGGGCGGCCGCGGGTGCGGACCATGGGCTGGCGGCTGCTGCCCGCCGTCCTGCTCGCCCTGGCTCTGGGCGGCCCGCCGCGTGGGCGCAGAACGACACGGAGCCCATCGTGCTGGAGGGCAAGTGCCTGGTGGTCTGCGACTCCAACCCGGCCACCGACGCCAAGGGCTCGTCCTCGTCCCCGCTGGGCATCTCCGTGCGCGCCGCCAACTCCAAGGTCGCCTTCTCGGCCGTGCGGAGCACCAACCACGAGCCCTCCGAGATGAGCAACAAGACGCGCATCATCTACTTCGACCAGGTGAGCGGCGGCGCCCGGGGGCATCCCCGCGGGGCCGGTGCCTCCCCCGCCATCCTCAACAGGTGCCGCCGCTTCCCTAAATTCCCGCACAAAGTTGGGGTGCAGGGGCGGCTGCTGCGGGCACCCCCGGAGCGAAGGGGTCGGGCAAGGGGGAGCTGGAGGGGCTGCAGCAGTGCCGCGGGTGCCCCCCGGGGATGGGGAGGATGCAGGGAGGGAGGTACCGGCCCCTCCGCAGCCCCCAGCCCCTGGCGATGGAGCCCAGTAAGTTCCCGGGATGATGCGGGGACCGAGCACAGGGTGGCGGGGGCACACGGCCCCGGGGGGCTTGGGGACAGGGGGTCCTCAGGTGTGAGCAACCTGTGTAGGTTTTAGACGGTTTGTTCATCTTTTGAGCGAGGAAAGAAGAAAGAATTTCGAGGGAAAATCCTTAAACTTTCCCTGAACGCTCCCAGGTTCACGGCACAGCCCTGTGCAGCTCAGCACCAGTATTAACGTGCAGGTGCCAGCACACGTTTCAACACCGGCTCCTGTCCTGGGGTAGGTCCAAAGTAATCGAGATTGAGGGTTATTCTTCTTCCTACACCCTGTTGTAATGAACAGTAAATTGTCGTGACAGCTGGGGCCAGATATGTCACACAGCCCAATGCTGGGAGCGTGAAATGATCATAACTCCATGGACATTCCTAGTGGCTTTCTAGGGCTGTGCCTGGCATAAAGGAGCCTGAAAATAGCAATTAAAAATAAAGCATAAATAAGCGGAAAGGAAGCACAATCTAGTCATTAGAGAAGATGGGCAGCATATGGATGATGCACTCATTTAATATGTTCCCCTCTGTTACTTGTCTCTGTTTGATCAAACTCAAATTATTGTTAGTGCTTACAAAAACAACTGAAGCAGGAAAGGCTCACAGTTTTTCTGGGATGTGCCAGGTTTTACAGCAAATCTGGCTGTAAACTGGGGAATGAACTGTATCATTCATGTGTGTCCTTCCTCACAGCTTGGCACTTTGAGGAAGCCAGTGTTGGCTTGACCATTGCTTTTTAAAACCATTTGCCACTCCCAGAATTAGTGTTTTTGATGTCATTTTTTGGGGAATGATGAACAAAAATGCTTTTACTTAATCCCTTCTAAACATGTAAGGAAGAAAGGACTTGAAGGTATGACATAGTAGCAAAGTAGGAAACAATTTCCACCCTAGTTTGTTTTTGTAGTAAAGTTGTACTATAAATACAACTAAATATCCATAGCATGAGCTATTCCAACTTAATTGAGAGAACATGAATAAACCAGCTTAGATGTAGATTAAAAATTTTCCATGGGTGAATGGTTTCTAAAGTTATAATCTGTGTTTTTATTTAATACTCAATACCAGTACTAATTCCCATGTTCTATTTTTCTGTTTGTAGATCCTAGTAAATGTGGGCAATTTTTTCACGTTGGAGTCTGTCTTTGTAGCACCAAGAAAAGGAATTTACAGTTTCAATTTCCACGTAATTAAAGTCTATCAGAGTCAAACAATTCAGGTACGTCGATCAAGTATATGATTGTAAAATCTTTTCCCTAAATTGTTTGTTTGGAATGGGATCTTGACTGAACACAGGAGTATTCAACACTCTTTCAAGGAAAAAATGCTTAGTTTACAGCAACCTGTGGTGTTGACTTCCTAGCAGCTGAGTGAATTAATTTAAACTGAATAGCTGAGACAATGCAAGATCCTCACCTCAGATAAATTGCCACAGCTTCACTCATAAAACTGGGGTGATATAAAGAATTAAATGAATGAATGATCCAATAGTAAAAGAGAGTTCTGAATTTCACTTAATTGCTTAAATACTATTGAAGAGTCATATTTTCCTTCAGGTTAAACTGTCTGGAACACAGGAATTCTGGGGATCTACATCAGATTTGACTATTTTTGTAACATTTTGACCTGGTTGACAGCTCCTGATGCCAGGTAGCTCATTATCCCCTTAGTCAACGTGGTCTACTTGTTCTGTAACCACACCAAAATGCTGTATTTCTACGGGGATGTCTTCTAAGGCACCTTTATAGCACTTTAAATTTTTTTTTTCACCATATAATGTATAAAAGATGTGCCATATATTAGAGAAAAAGGAGTAATTTTGCACTTTCTTCTGTAGCTTAATAGCAGCTGAACTGCCTAATTAAATATAAATATGTACTAGCTTTGAGGAAAAGCCTCTAAGTTCCTGAACATCCCTTTGCTGAGCCAACAGTAAATTCCTTAGAGTGCATTCCTTAATCTTCATGCCAGGTCCTGCATTTTCTGTGGCATACATCCTGGCTTTCTAGATCTGGAATGACATCTGTGGCTTCCTTTGTTTCTACCCATGAGACCACCAGTTTCAGAGAAGTATCTGATGCTTTTCCCTGTTCTGTCTTGCTCCTGGATGTGGTTTTCAGTGTGCAAGGCTGAGGGGAAATGGATTTCTGCAGGAGGAGTGGTCAGACTTTGCTTTGTGGCAGCTCTGGCTCCTGGGAAAAGTGTAAAAGCTGGAGATGGCAGAGAGCTGGTGCAGGACACAGTCACATCCCCGGTGAAATTTGCCTTCATTTTACAGTGGGAAATCTTAATTCCCTTCAGGGCAATGGCAAAAACCTTAAGTGAAATACTGACCTCATGAAAATCTCTGTAATGGGCTTATAAACTGTTTAATGTCCTCAAACTTTGTTCTTTTCACTCTCTTAAATGCTGAAGGTTGAAATGGCCTTGAATAACTGTATGCCAGCCAGGTCATTAGATTTAAAATGCATATTGCCAAGGAAGATGCCAAGGCTTGGTTTCTGGAAGTCCAGCACAGGCTGGTGTTTCACACACCAGGGACTCAACCCTGGGAGTTTGGGGCTGGTGACAGGAAATGTTACACCTGTGACATGGCCTGAAATATTTAATACATTGAGAGTTTCTAAAGTAATGAAAGTTTTGGCACAGTTAACGTGAGACCATCGGGTGCAAACCTGTGATGTGTCTTCTGCTGTGATTAAAATTGCTGTAAGATGCTCTGCAGGGGAACCCAACCTAGAGAGATGGTACAGAAGGAGTGGGATAAATCCAAACCAAGCAATGAGAATCGAACCCTTGATGCCCTTTTTCTGCATGTTTGATACTTAGGAAGGAGAACCAGAAACCATTGCAGTGGAACAAACTGGTTTGAGTCTCATGCAGACTTTAAACACCACTAAATCACCTCAAGGCCTCCTACACAAGTGATATCACTGTGCTCCTGGAACATCTGTTAGTGCCATTAAATATCATTAAACTGCAGTTTGTTCCCCGGGGACATCTGATTAAGTGGATTTCCCAGATAGGTGAACCCCAAATAAGGGCCAGATTCTGCTGCCCTGACTTCTGCTGAGCAGTGATTTATCCCGTGGTGACTCCCATTAAAATTAATGGGAGCATATGCAAGGCCAGCACACTCCATATGAAAGAGTATTTCACAATTCACCCCTGTGTGACTGCATTAGAGCTGTTTAAAAAGAAAAAGCAGAGCTAACAGTTTGCCATGGGGGAAATGAAAAATACCCAGATCTGTCCATTCCCTCAGCCCTGCCCATCTCTGTTCACAGAGTGTCTGTGATGCTGCTTTCAGAGCAGAGGCTCTGCTGACTTTCAGAAGGGTTTTACAGAAAATTGGAGCCAGTACCGTGGTTTATAAAGCTAAAGATTGGTTACAGACTTTAAAACTAAGCTGCCATCGGTGATGGGAGGGGTAGAGATTTTGCTGCCACTGAAGTGTGAGCTCCCAGGCCACTGTGGTGCCTCTGACACCTCATTAGGTGCCTGTATAACGTCTCTGGGGGCCCAAGTTTCTTGAAAATGCCTTTTTTTTTTGCCCCTGAGTATACATACATAAATAACCCTAAATAACCCCTGACACAGGCAAAGTGATGCAAATTGAGGTGATAACTCCCTCTACAAGTCCAGACCACGTAACACCAATGTGCTCGTACACACCAATTAAATGTAATTATTAGTTTAAAACAATCCAAAAACCAGTGAAGACTGGGATCTTAGCAGGGCTCTTATTCTGTACTTAATATCCAAGGGTAGTTCTTGGTGTTTTGCTGTTAATTGGAGCTTTTCAGTGGTTTTTCTCTTGCAGGTTAATTTGATGCTGAATGGAAAGCCAGTCATTTCTGCTTTTGCTGGGGACAAGGATGTCACACGTGAAGCTGCCACTAATGGAGTCCTGCTCTATCTGGACAAGGAGGATAAGGTTTACCTGAAACTGGAGAAAGGTAATCTGGTCGGTGGATGGCAGTATTCTACGTTTTCTGGCTTTCTGGTCTTCCCCCTGTAAAGTCAATTTTCCTGTGACATTCATCCAGGTGTGGACTCACCATTGCCTCTGTTACACGAAGATCATTTTATCATCATGGGATTGATGTTTCTTTATTGGTTTTTCATGGATTCTCCCTGTGGATTTTGGCCCCATTTGAACTACTCAGAAGTTTCACAGAATTTTGTGTGTTTAAATACAATATGTTTGGACTGAGACTAAAGCAGACAATAAATATTTATGCTTAACATTACAGTCTAAAGCTGCCTGCAAGATTTATTCCAATCACATTTTCTGGACTTACTGGATTCATGAGAGAAGTGGATTTTCTTTAATTATGAAAAAAAACTGGCAACCAGGTCTTTAATTTAGGAGAGTTTGAGTTCAGACTTCAATCAAGAGTTAGTGTGTTGCTGCCAAAGAACTGTATATTGATATATTGGTCATACATGTTTTTGTCACTGGGACTTTACTGCCATGATCTATTCCATTGTCTTGAGAGAGGTAATTATTATTGATAAGTGGTTGACTTTAATTCTCCTCTGAGTGTTGTGTGTTGGATGGTTCACCCAGACATTTAAGCTCTGTCTCTGCTCCCATCAAGTGTAGCCCACATAAACTAAAGGGTCATGGATGTATTTTAGTCGGATATGAAAGATATTCCTCTTTTCCACCTGCTGATTTCTAAAAAGAATAGCAGATTATAACCATTAAGACAAAACTTACCCAGGGTTAAAGGTGATCATTCAGGCACAGCTTTGCAAAACAGCTTTGCCCTGCAGGAAGTCTCACACTTATTCTTCAATTTTAATTAACATGAACGATAAAAACTGCTTTATTAAAATCCTAAGGGATTCCTTCCTTAGCCACAACCACTTTGTTAGCTGGAGATGAGATCCCCCTTGTTTGTATTTATGTGTATTTTTCAAACTTTCTGTTGTGTTAAATCTGATTTTGCCTTAACTTCACAACTGTATATAATTTTAGGTCATATATTTAACAAATGTTAAATCCAAATAGCTGGTACCTAACTTGGTACAAAAGCTTTTCAGCTTTTTGTACAGGTCATGTGAATTCATAAAGTTATTTATTATATCACTGTTACATAATAAAGATTAATATATGTTAGCTTAATTTTTGACTTTTGGATTTTGGAAGTTGCTTCATGCTATTTTTTTATTGGATATAATTATTATATGCAAAATGTAAGCTTTTGGGATTCACAGAAACTACCCCAGGAGGCAGGAAAACTGCCATAAGTTAGTCTGGCAGAATCCTAGAGGTAATCAGAAGGATCTAAAAATAACCTATGCATTTTATTTAAAAAACAAAAAGATTTAGGCAGAAATCCTGGCCTCACTGAAGTTACTGTTAAGAATCACATTGATTCCAAAGGGTTTTGGATGAAACCTGTTGCTTTAGGTTTTTACCATCAGCATGAAACTCCAGTGCCATCAAATTGAATATTAAATAAAATGATTTTCACAGGAGCTGCTAATGAAACCTTCATCCCTCGTGCCCAAAATAGACACTGAATTGATGGATCTTTGTGCCTTGCATATCATGAAGGATATGGTTCTAAATTAAAAAATACTGTGTACTTGAAAATGTTTCTGGATGGAAGGACCTGCAGCAACTGGGACCTTCCCTGAGAGCCAGTTTAGGCTGGAATTTGCTGCTTTAGATGACCTGGTTCCAATTTGTTCACTTGTTAGTCAAGTGCAGTGCCATGTTGCTCCAGCTGCTGTAAATGGATATTTCATTGATTTAAAGTCAGTTGGTTGGTTGATGCTCCTGATTAAAAATGCCAGAGAATCAGTGCCCAACACTGTCCCCAAATTCTTTATTGTTCAACACCCAACATACAGGATTTTTGGGCCATTTCAGGAGGGGAGGAGGGAATATTCCCCCTCTGAGATGTCAGATGAGGAGGCGATTTTTTAGACCCAATATTGAGCACTGCAGTTTGGGAGGAAGTAGAAGGACTTGGCAATGAATGATGATTAATGATTTACGTGGCTGAAAAATATAAAAAATTATTATGACCAATCAAAAACCGTTACTGCTGTACCCCCCAAATGTGTGTGTGTATATATATATATATATATATGTATATCTGAACCACCCTGGGATTGCAGCACATAGTATGCATGATGTTATAAAGAGGTTATTTGTCATAAGGGTTTATTTCAGAGGGGAACATCAATATTTTGTATAAGATTGGTAAAATCTGAAATCTCACCCATTGAAATATATGTAATGTAAAAGACATGTTGCTACACAGACAGAAGAAAAGTGGCATTAAAGGTGTCAGTATACTTTCAGAATGATCAAATGTATCTAACTTCTTTAATTTGTAAACATATCATCTTTAAAAGCTGCCTTCAGCATTCAGCAATAATCCTGAACTACCTTAATGTAGTGGTGATTTCCCCTTGGCAAAACATTTGTGGTTGCTTCAGTCCTCAACAGTTACTTAAACTTCAGCTAGAGAGGCTGGGAAGTTATTCAATTAGGGAGTTACACTTTGATTGAAATATCCTAAATTTTTGCCATCAGCTTCTAAAATCCTTATTTTGCCAGTTAAAGGAGAAATTTCACTGGAGTCCCTGGAAAGCAGCTCCTGATATTGTCACACAGTGCTGAGCACTCAGAGATGGGTCTGGGGACAGGCAGGGTTCTCAGCTCACATTTAAATGTTTAAATAGCAACAAACTGTGGGGTTTAGACCACAATTTGAGCTACTTTGCAGGTGTTATTGTGTTGCCCCAGAGTTATGTCAGTAGGAGTCACTCCCAAAAGAGAAGGATGAGCCGGGTCTGGAAAATCCTGTTTCTCTTCTCCCTTCTCATTCCTTTTTTTCCCCTTCTGCCTCCCCATGTTACTTCTACAGCAGTTTTCCTGTTCAGCAGCAACAGCTCAGGAGACACTCCACATTTCAAAAGGTATTTAAGATTAGAGGTTTGATTTTTTTTCAAGAACTTAAACCTGCATTGAGCTGCACTGTAAAGGTTAGAGCTGGTTTTCTGCTCCTGTTCTGTTCCATGATCCAGTCCTCTTGGTTCTGGAGAGGGCAGAATTATTCCTCCCTCTGTATGTATCCCTGCTGCAGAATGTGCTGAGGATCTACACCCACAGCCCTGAGCATAAATCCACTTTGCAGTGAACTTTGTAGCTTCCAAAGGTTGATTGTGCAAGAAAACCTTTTAGCCACATGAGGTAAGGACAAAAGAAAGAACTTACTTTCTGAAAATAACAGATATATTGTTATTATCTGCGATCTCTCTATTTTTTGACCTGTTTTATTTATATTTTATCCCTATTTTATTGTAAAATTAAGGGAAAAAACCCTCTCTATTTTCCTTTCTTTCACTCCTGAGTGATGTAAATGTTGTTGGTAGAGCCAGGTCTCCCTGTTCCCCTGGGTTCACCCAGTGTAGAAACCTGCTCTGTTCTGTGGATTCCTGTGCACTATGAAGAGTTTAGGCTGCACATGCCAAATGCCTACAGAGCCAAAAAAGATACTGTTCAAAAGAGCCTGGGAGCAGCAGTGTTTTTGGAAAAGGCACTGAGGTAGCTTTGAAATTTTCACAAGCTCTTTTGTCTCTACATAAAAAGGAAAAACTAACTTTGAAGCATAGAGAAAGGAAAAAATTCCTTTTTTATTTTTTTTTTAATGCAACATTTTGTATTTGTTTCGTGTTACATCATTTTCTAGTAGTACCTGAACATTTTCTCAGTGTTAATTAAATTACTTTGGCCAGGTCATGGCAGGGTAAGTATTGAAACCTCAGTGTTACTACTGAGAAAATGGAGACAGTGTTTGGGTGTCAACACATCCAGTACCAGTGACTGGCTCTGTTCAGTTTGCTGGATCAATCCTTTTTCTGATATGAGGCATTTTTTTAAAACAAATTATAGTTTTGGAGTAAATGGCATTCTGGTGTACTTCTCCTTTCATATTATATCTATATAATATTCCTAGAAAGTTGAATGGAGTGAAACAGCTTTAAATGCCCCAAGAATTTCACAATTAACTCTCAATTCTTTTTTTTTTTTTTTTAAACACCCAAATCAACACATCTGCACATACAGTATCTTTACAAGCAGGTCTTAGAGAGAGAAATGCAAGAAGCTGTGTGTCATAACCACAACAAGGAAGCCAAACCATTAACATGAAATATGGGCTGAAGCAGAGAAACACATAAATGTTCTGCTCCTTTTAGAAGAGGTTCTGAGTTTTACCTTAACAATTCATTGCCCTTCATACTGTAAGAGCTCTTTATAGTATTCAAACTCTTTGTCTTCTAAAGACAACATTAACCAGCTGACTCAGTGTAAATAAGTGAAGGTTCCCAGTGACAGAATTTACTGGCTGGCACATGCCACAACAACATATTTTTTATGCTCTTGCTGTCCAGACAGAAAAGGCTCCTTTGAGAAAAGAAATTGTCTTAGACACTGAGCTAAACTTATTTATCTGTTGCTGCTCAGGAATGGGGAGGGGAAAAAAAACCCCTTTCCTACCCTAAAGCACTAAGGAGAATGCATACAAAGAATAATGATAAAATCAGTCACTGTTATATAACTGAGGATGAGAATAATGGGGAAGTGGCTTGAATAGTGTGTTTAGTGAGAGCTGTGATCTGAGGCATTTGATGGAAGTGATCACTATTTTAATCTTCACAGGTTGGGGGAAGGGAAGAGCCAGTTCCATCATTTTTAACAGGCTCTTTTCCTTTTTTTATTCTCCTCCCCCCCGCCATTTCTCTTCTGTCTCGTGGTTCTGCTTGGCTGCAAAGGAAAAAAGTGATCGGCAGCGACCTAAGAAAAGTTCATTTCTGAAGAGGGATGAGAGGTTGTTTGGGTTTTTTTTACTGGTATCTGATGTGGGGGGAAAACCCAACGAGGAGAGGGGGGTAAAACAACAAAATAAACCTAAATACCTTCCTGACCCAGCATCCAGTTCAGTGCAATACCTAAATATGTTCTGCTTATACACATAAGACTCTTCTACAGTGCATGACCCCGACCCATCCCATTACAGCCACCACTTGTCATCTGATGGCTTTTGGTCCTGCTGGAGGAAACTGGATGTAGAAGGGTAGTACAGAGCACTGAAATGATCAAATAAAACAACTTTATCTGTGTGTGTGTGCCTGGATTTATTCCTGCACAGCAGGTCCCTCCCCCTTGGGGCATTTTGGTGCCGAGGGTGAACACGTGGATGAACTGTGACACACTTGGAAACCAGCTGTGAGTGTGGATATGTTGGAATCGCTGCTGACACAAGGAAAATACTGCATCCTAATCCCTGAGTGAGGAGTTTTAGTGGTGCTGTATAGTCCTGATGCTGGTAGGAGGGAGATCTCCACAGCACTGGGCACAGTGACCAGTGGTGGGTCTGTATTGACCCCAGTGGAGCTGTAGGAGTCTGAGCGGTGCTGTGGCAGCCAGACAGGCTGGTGGCTGTCCTGGAGTTCCACTCAATTTAAAAATCAGTGTTTGGGGGTTTATTTTATCCCTTTCTTTGTAAAGCAAGGTCTATTTGCAGTGAACATGTGGGATTCTCAAACAAAGGCTGTCTTTAACACTGACTGAAAATAAACGTAAAAAAAAAAGTCTACAGCAAGGCTGAATTTCTCTGAATTTGAAGCCATGCAATTAAGTAGCAAAATGAATTAAAATAGTCTGTGCTCTACTACACAACTAAATATAAAAGAGTAAAATTGATTCTGGCCATGTACCTACAAACCAGCTTGGAAGCTCAATACAACAGAGAAAGAGCTCATTATTCCACCTTTTCCCACTGCCCAGGAGTAGAAACAGCTGCAGGGCAGCATTTTCATGAGAGGCAAGTTAGTGCCAATGTTGGAGCATCTTCCTGGGACAACAGGGCTCAGTGCAATTCCTCCAGAGCCTCCCAACCATCTGAGCAGCCTTCACAAGGCTCCCACCTACTGCAAAAAATTGGAAAATTTTACTCAAAGCCATTCCCAACCAGAAAACACCTTTGGGATTCAATTATTGTTAGCAAAAAGTAGATGCATTAGAAGAAACGATTTTTTTTGTGGTTTTTTTGAAAAAAAATGAGAAAATTATTTTGAATCCAAAAGCTTTTACATTTAATTTTATGCTCACTTTTAATTTGAAAGATTATGTTGGTTCAAAGAGAAAAGGGAAAGAATTGAAACTGAAATAAAGCATTTGAACTTTCAAAATAAATATTTGCAAATAAAACATTTAAACACATACTGCTTTAAGGTGGGGTTTTTTTTGTTGTTTTGCAGGGGGATTGTGTTTTTTTTTTTTTTGGTGGTTTGTTTGATTTTTTTGCTTCTGTTTTTTTTTGTTTGTTTGTTTTTTGTCACTGGAATTTAATTTAGGGAAAAATCATAGCATTTTGGAAGTTTGTTCAGATTTTTTTTTATTATTATATTTCCAGATCTCTCTCTCTATTTTTTTCCTTTTAACATAAAGCAAATATTTTCCCATAATCATTTTTTCCATCCTATTTATTGATTTTCTAAAGCACACAAAACTGGCCATTGAAAAGGCCACACAAACATTTCATAAACTTCTTTAATTTCAGAAGGTACCTCTAATGTCCTGGGGAGGGCTGTTTTCACCATCAGGGAGGAGCAAACGCTGCAGATTTCTCCTATTGAGAAAATCAAGATCACGTTTAGCTCACCTGGATTAAGGAACTCACTGGAGGCTCAGATCAGATTCAAGCTCAGAGGAATTTCCATGGGCACTTTGGATACTTTGGGGTCAGGGTAGAAGGGCTCCAGCTTT